TACATATATCATAGCGCGACGCATTGATATGGCCAATATTTCATAAACACATGCACGAGAGAGGGCGAAATGCACATTTACGATAACATACACAATACCACATAGTTGTCCAGCATCCACGCATTACCCGGAATCAGTATTTGGATTGAAGGCGTCCAATTTTGATTTCATACGATTGTGCAGAAGGGGGAATTGGGTCAGTGATGTGGGCAGTGCTATGATTGTAAGTATTTGGAGATGTGATATGAAAAGTGATCTGATTCTGTACAAGTGAAAATTGGATGTGAGAAGCGTTTCGGCAACCGAGAAGGGCGTTTGCAAATGCACAAACAGATTATCGGGAACTATACACCCACTCGCAATCAGTATACACAAACTATCCCAAACGCGGCCGAAAAATTTGATGTCGAACTATAATCAGCACTACTCCCAAATAGAGTTTATGTGGACGTTTGGACAAGCTATTGCATTCTCGTCTTACTACATTAAGTATCTCCAGGAGTCATGCGGTGTAGTGTGTATAGCCACGTGCCCATACATCCCAGCCTTAGCGTATCGACTACTTCACATTTCGGCATGCACCCACACACAATACAACATGAACATGAGCACGCGGTGGATTATTAATCCAAATGCGTTGACACGTTGCAACCTGAACATTCCCTATACATACGGCGTATATATCCCTGTAAACCCATTTGACACCATAAAAAATGAATGCTACCCATAGTATATAGATACATACATATCATTGCCTACACATTACACGGTCCTTCAATCCACACAGCATGCCCGATGCATGTGTGTATGCGTACCTTCGTTGCTTGCCCAGATCACTCGTTCTGTAGTTGAACTTGGCGGCGTAGTCTTTTACTGAGGCCGCCAGTGCAGCGCATTCCCATAGACACGTGGGGTCTTCTGTGGGGGTATTCACCTGTGATGTGATTCGATGGAATGTGATGTGATTGGGGCTATATTAGCACTAAGATGTGTACCTATGGCACATGTACTGACACGTGAGGAGTCGGCAGTTCTTTGTAAGTATATATAAATATATAAACATAGGTATATGGATATAAGTATATAGATATATCCATGTACATAAAAACATTGCAGTAGCCTTTCACTGAGGGTGCAAGTGCATCGCAGTCCTACAGACACGTAGGGTCTTCCGTAGGATATTCAGTGCTTGATGTAATGAGAACTAGCGACATTTGGGCACACGTACGTGCTACAGATGTATATACAGGTAAGTGCGTCTGTAATTGGTTGAACATATATATATATATATATATATATATATATGTGTGTGTGTGTGTGTATATATGTATATATGTGTGTGTGCGTGTATGTATGAATGCATGATGTATGTATGTATGT